TCTCTCTCTCTCTCTCTCTCTCTCGCCGTCACTCCTAAAACTTCCCCTGTTTGTTTGTTTTTTTTTCTCTCATAAGCAGAGAGTATTTGCTAGCGCTGTCCTTAGTAAACCCAACTAAGCTATTGAGGAAAAAACGCCGCGTATATATTGTTTATCATGACTCTGGTTTTACATGGCCTATCAACACAATTTAAAAACTGGTATCTATCACCTTGTTGCTTTGTCTTTAAGTGGTCATGTGATTAGCTTACCACGACTACTTCATTCTTCCTCAGTCAAACAGCAGCACTCATGCGATTGTTTTGCCCCCTTAGCTCCAGGTGTTGTGCTAGACAGTGATCGTGATTACTGTCCGCGGGAGCGCGCGCAGCGGCTTAAAGCTGTAGCGCCCAGATTACTTACAGCTACTTCCGTGCAACTGATATAAGATGCGGTAAGCTGAACACAGCTTCAACCTTCTGTTTGTTGAAAAATAGTAACGGACCGCATTTTCTTGTTAGTAACTGTAACGGTGTTGTAACGATAGGAATAGTAATTAGTTAGATTACTCGTTACTGAAAAAAGTAACGCCGTTAGTAACGCCGTTACTTAGAACGCCGTTATTCCCATCACTGTACATGAATGTGTTTTCACCTACTGCTGTCTCCTTCTCGACCTTCTTCACCCTCTCCGCCTTGCTCACCTGCACATCTATCTCTGTCTCGTTACACGCCCGCGTCTCCTGATCGATTTTAGTATTTCTTTCAATCAATTACACCACCTCTCCCCATCTGCTGCCATATTAGTGTCTCCCTCAACAACCTTCAGTTAAAGTTTATTGGTACAGGAAGCCCATTGCGGGCTTTTATTACAATGATCTCCTGTCATAAAGATAACAGGGATGTCCAGCTGAGCCAGCCGGACGAAGCCCCTTGTGTCCGACTGTCAGCTGCATACCTTTTAGCTCCTCATTTAGTCTCTTTGGCCTCATTTATACTGCAGATATAATCCAAAGCATGTCCATTTACAGCATTTACATATCACGTTTTCAGCTAAATACTTTAGATCTTTCTTTTTTTTTGTACAGTGAATTATTAATATGTGTTGTTGATGCTTTAATTCTGTCTCCACTGTAAAGAGACTTTGAAATAATGGTGATGAGAACATGGTTTTACCCTCAGAGCCAGTAAGCTGGTAGTCTTCTGTGGACTGTGTTCTGTAACTGCTTTTTATAAATACATTCTGACTAAAGTAGAAATACTTTTGATATGAAAATGACATGAAAGGGTACTCCAGTGATTTGCCAGTGGCACTTTTTTTTATTATGTTTCAATAATCACAAGACATAAAAAAACGGAAGCAGCAAACGGGCAGTTATTGACGTGAAGCTTGGAAATCGGTATCTTT